TGTGCAGGATGAAATAAAAATGAGCAGAGAAAAGATGGACTCACGCAGCCTGTTGATGTTTTTCTGCATCTTGTCCATCCTCCCGAGTATCGTCTGGCCCCTGATGGTCTCATTGTGGTGGGCCTTCTGGAGTCTCTCTGAGTGGGTGGAGACCTGGGTCTTTATGTTGCTGAGATACAACGAGGCCAAAGCCAGGACCAGGACCACCAGGAAGCCTTTGATCCAGCCAGACCTCATCCTGCTGCTCCTGTGTGGTTTGGCCTCTCGCTGAAAGAGAAGGTGGGGTTTTTCTGTAAATACAGGTGTATCTCCACACCCCCTCTGCACACAYACATTTACTAGGCACACAAGTGCACACATACACTAAAAACACTTTGTTGTTKTTTTCTATTATCTAATAAACCATATTATTCAGAGATTTTAGTCTCAATTCTTTTGCTGCTTTTCCCTCCTGAATCACACCTGGTGCTCCTGATTACCTGAAACCTGAGAGGGAGGGAAAACCAGCAGAACTCTGGAKGAACAGGATTTGTGCTGTTAAACAAAAGAAAAGGTCAAAGTTATCTGGTCCAGGCCGTGTTCCCTTTGTGTCCAACTATTTCCTGCTGCTAATTCTAAAAATAAAACTAAGATTCATTTCTGCAACTGTGCAATAAAGAATTTTAAGTGAATTGTTTTGTTTTTATCATGTCACAAAACTGTTCAAATAGAAGCAGACTGAAATAAATCAGGTCAATTTCACTCAATTTCCACTCACCTCAGTCAAGGTTCAGTAAATGCAACAATCTGTTTTTTGACTGTGCCAGCACCAATTCAAATGACTTACTTACGTACTGACTGCACAAGTGTGATTTCTTTAAATTTTCCTGTCAATGAGCACTTTCTTGTTATATTTATTAAAATGTTAGATTTAACTGACTTGTTTATAACCGATACCACTAAGGTTTGTCATTTAAATTTAAAAAGTAATTATTGAAGCTTTGATCTCATGACAATAGATGCAAGATTTCAGAATCTCCGTAAAGCAGAGTAAATAATACACATGTGGAAGTAAAAATAAAAGCACTTTAAAACTTGTTATTCAGTTAAAAGAAAATCACATTTTTAAGTTCAAGTATATGGTTGCTTTATTTTTTTTTTTTTACTTCAGTACAACAGAACCTGCTTATWYKGASTGTTAAATATAGCTAATAAAAATCTTTAATCAAGATAAAATAACTGAGTGTTGTTCTCTTTGAACTTTGGCTGTTTTCAGTCTTGTCCGTGTAACCAATCATGTTACAGCAAATTTAACTAAAAAGGAAATAAAAAAAAATCTGAAAATGATCAGGAACCAGACTGATAAAACGTGGGAAAAGCAACTTTTTGAAACACCCTCAAAATGCCTGAAAACACAAGATTACAAGTCTTTCATCTGAGAAATAAATCAATGTAGACAAACCTTAAATCTATTAACCATATAAAGTAACTTTGTCTAATGATTTCTATCAAACTTTCTGTGATCAAAGTCCAAACAATTTATTACATTTAAATAACAGTGCTAATCCATCACGCTGCTCAATTATAATCTGGATTAATAAATTTAAAAAATGTATTTCTGTAAACTAAAATTTAGATTATTTTAAATTAGTGCTCAAATTCTCACATACTTTTCTGTGTAAAGTATTTCAGGATTTTTATTTTACCAGAGAACCTAACATGGACACACTGCAATCACAATTGTGTGCATTTATTTTTTATTTTTATGTATGTACACAATATACAAGCTCAGCACATGGGGGTAAAAAAAAGTTTTCAATTGTAAACAAAACAAAAATATTCAGGGGTTAGAAAAAGACATTTTTTTCTGAACTGACTCAGATCATTAAAAAAACATTCCTGATAATCAGCTGAAGATTTTAGAGTCAACAAGCAAACAGCTGCTTTGTTTTTATTGAACAAGCTTTAAGATGTCTCCTCACTGAATCCTGTTTTCTGTCAAAACATGAAAAAAAAAATCGATACAAGCATCTGTTTAAAAATATCTGACAAACTAAAAGGAGCAGCCATATTTCACCCCCACTGTCCAAGTCTCTGCCTTGGTCAGTGACTCGTAAGACTCGGGTGAAGAGGTTTGACTCGAACAAGGCGGGACAGTCCCAGTCGCAGACCAGGACTGGGACCGGGGGACTTCCCTGCTGGACTCTGAGCCGACGGTGGACTTTTACCTATTTGAGCTGAGGGACAAACAGTTAAGAGTTAATTTTTCTGCACTTTGAGGGGAACCAGAAGCACTGGAGCTGGTTTTCACCTGGAGGGGTCCATTTGGGTATTCTGCCCCCTGCTGGGCTCAGAGAGGCTGCAGGCTTTGGAGCAGAAACTGTCGTGGATGAAGCGGGTCTTACGGGAGCAGATTTGGCTGATGGAGGAGTTCTCACTGAGGAGACAAAGTTATTTTTATATAAACAACAAAGTCAATAAAGAAGAACTGAAACTCTGTTTATGTCTCAGAAACTCACTGGATGCCTGCAGCTTACCTGATGGATTTGATGGTTGTTTTTGCTTTTTAGGTGCAGGAGCCTTTTTGGTTTTGTCTTTTTTTGTTACTTTCTCTTTCTTTTTATTCTTGCTGAYTTTCTTTACTGCAAATTCCTCGTCATCGCTCTCGGCTGGCTCGCTGTAATCTTCATCACTTTCTGAATCTGCAAAAACATTGAAACATTAAACGAAGTCATTTGAAACGTCTCATTTTAACATTATACAAAAAAAATGACGACCTGGTGTCAGTTTGGGCTGATAGTCCTCATCTTCATCCTTTGTTCTTTCTACCTCAGCAGCTTTAACTTTCCTAGCAGAGGCTGGTGATCTTCTCTCTGATGTGATTCTGTCTAAACCTGATGATGATAATTAAATTAAAACATTTTCCTCTGATATGAAGCTAGGAACAAAAAAAAAGATTTATTTACCCAAAACTGCAGCATCCACGCTGCAATTGGACCGGTGCAGAGAAGCAGGGTCTGTGTTTTCATCTTGAACATCTGTTGGTTATTATTAGAAAATAAAAAATTAAAGTCACAGCTTCTCAGAAAGAAAAAACAAACAAACCAAATACTTTGTTCATTTCCCACGCCAAAACAAACCTTCACAGTTAGGAGTGTCCTTTAACCCGTCAGTTGTATTGAGCAGGGACAGTGTGATGGCAGCTTCAAGATCTCTTTCATGTAACTTTTCATCCAGCGGTTTTCTGGAAAATGAATATTGTTGACAAGATTTAATTGCTTTTCATTTTTAACTCCTCAAATACAGCGGGTAAAATAAGTATTGAACACGTCACCATTTTTCTCAGTAAATATATTACTAGAGGTGCTAATG